AACAGATATCCAATTTCTGTTGTTCATTTTTTTGTCAATTTCATCAAATGATACGACAGTTCATTAGTTAATTTAACTAATTGCATTTTATGACTAAAATTGGATTGTTTTATAGATACCCTACAATTTTGGTGATAGACCCACTTCATTATTTTATTTTTACACTCACATTATAATCTCATCAATGATAAAAAAAATAAAAAAAATAAAATGTTATTCCTCTACCTACCATTTTTCTTAAAATAACTTTTAATATATTTTATTTTAACACCTCCACCCAACCCTATCAAAAACCAAAACCTTTGACATCTGCTTGGTGGCATCTCCTTTGGAAAGAGAGAGAAACAAGAGCGGGAGGAAGAGAGAATCACGGGGGACGAAGAGAGAGAAACAGGAGGGGAGGAATAGAGTGAAGACGGGGGAGGAAGATTGCTCCAAATCGTTTATTCCAATTGGGATTTGGGTATTATTCAATTTGAAAATCTGGGTTGTCATTGTCCTCTAGCTTCCATGGCTGCCTCCTTTGTTGCATCTCTATTCTACACGTGTTCGGTGACCATTGTTGTTTATCTATGAGGAAGAGGAAGAGAGGTTGGAGGTGGTATTACCAGAATTAAAAGAGAGAGTAGGGTGATGTTTGCTACTGGAGAGGTGTGATGGATGATTGGGGACTTGATAGTCGTCGACCCATGATGGCTGATTTAGGAGGGTGATGGATTTATTTTCTTTAGTTTTAGTTTTTCTTTATTTTGTTTTAGTTATTTAATTAAAATTATAAAGAATTTATAAATATGGATTTAAAAGTCTTTTATTAAAAGGATAAATAAGTGATTAACATTTTCATTAAAAAGTGAGTGGAAAAATAAGACAATTTTTTTTTTTTTTTGAGTACATTGATATTTTTTACACAGGGAGTTCGGCAAAGTCACACGATGAGAAACCTAATTTGGTATCGAATTCACCATCCACGAGGTTCGAACCTAAGACCTCTCACTTCCAAATAAAGAAAAATATCACCAAACCGCAGTACTAAGTGGCAACAATAAAGTGGTTTTAGTAGCACAATTATGAAAACACCTCACATTCATTAAAATTCCAGTTTTGTCCCTCATTCTTCCGAAGCCGCCCCACCCACCCACCCACCCACGCCACCAGAAAAGGGTAAAAAGACCAAACAACCCAATTCGACGAGCACCCAACCCAACACCTCAACTCACTCGGATACTCCTCCACCTCCATCACCTCCGACGCCAAGCTGTCATCCCATGAGGCCACCGTGTCTCCGAATTCCCTATTGCAAAACTTCACCAACCAAATGCCTCCAAATAGATTTGAAGAAGCATGAGCAAGTGGTTGGAACTTGTATTAATTTCTTCCAAAACCAACTTGCTATCTAAATGAGGAGTTTTGTTCTTTAGAGAGTTATTATGAGGTTATGAGCCACCTAAGGTGAGTGCACCGATATTCTCTGAATTATTGTTTGTCAGCTACCACACAATAATTTAGAAAGCATCATTAATTATACTAAAATAATAATGACAATAATATATAACATATAGCTAGTCCAGAGTAGGGTGCATATTCCCAGTTAATAAAGATTCGATAATCAAAAAGGCCAGTATTGACCAACCAAAGCACATGACTAGGCTAAATGGTCTACCGGCCCTACCAACCTAACATTAACCTTTCGCTTTCTATAAAATAATAAAATAAAAACTAATAAAAATAGTTTGAATTTTGAATTTTAACGAAAATGATAATAAAATGTTGTAAGTGAATAATATTAGGATTGATTTTTAAAAGTAAAAATATGGTTTTTCGTTAAAGTAAACAGTACATGAAATTTTTCATTAAAGTTCTCAATAATTAAAAGAAGATTCAATTTCATCCATAAGCAAAGACTCCACTAGTTGTAACACTACCTGATAAATTAACCAAATAAATCATTGCATCCTACTTTTACTTAAAAGAAACTCGAAAATATTTCTTAAAAAAAACTCGAAAAATACTTCTTAAAAAAACCAAAAATATTATTATCATTCACTGCAAATTAAGAGCATCTCTAATAGAGATGTCAAAATATAAATTTCAAATGTTAATTTGATACCTGACGTGGCAATGTCATATTTTCTCTTCCTCCAACCGATATATTTTTTTTGTTATAAATGATATTTGTAGAACCATTTTTTAAAAAGAAATCAATTAAATAAATTTTCAAAATCTATAATTGGTGCATTAACAGAACTCACATAATAAAATGATTAAAAAATTATTTGACATCACATTTTTCATATGTCAATCCACATAGGATTGACATATCGGTTCGACCTTATTCCAACCTTCAAATTTGATTACATGACATTCCACTTAGAATTTGATATCTCATTTGAAGATGGTCTAATAGAGTCAATTTCTCACATGGAGTCAAGACTTAGAGCAAGTCCACCCTATGCCAATTAGTTGGACAATAGAGCAATTTAATCCCCAAAATCCCAAAAAAAAAAAGTCTATCCACCCTAGCCTAATCAGTTGGGCTATAAGGGACCCCAGCAAAATCGGACTACTCTATTGGCAAGAATGCCTCATCTCAGCGACCGAGTTGATCTAACGTGAGGATGATGTCAGCCACGTTCCTTTTCTTTTTTTTTTTTGGTCAGGCGCATGGTTTTCACGTGTTGATAAAGGTGATTGAGCCAACCAAAAATTGGTGTTGGGGCCCGCAGTACAGGCGCACTCAACCCAACCGAATGAGGGGCAATGTGGCACATTATGGGCCATTGGATTTCCGACAACTATATTTCTAGACCGTTGGATTTCCAATGATTTATATAATTTTGAATTTAAATCCTAACGACCAGGACACGTGGTGCAACTTCAGCCGTTAGCATTTATTATTACTAGTCTATATTTTTCCTACTTAAAAAAATTAAAAAGAAAATCATCAAAAAATGTCTTATTGTATTTAGGCCTGAGTGGCACAATCTAGGTTGTTGGATTGCAAAACAAATATAATCCAACAATCTATACTAATTAGGTTATTAAAAATTAAAAAAAAATACAAAATAAAAAATTTCCTATAAATACTCAATCATCCTCTTCCACTTTACACCACATTTCAATTTCAAAATTACTTTCAAATATCCTCATGACATGTAGTGCTACAAGATTGGTTAAAAATCTAATCGAAAGTCTATCCATATAAGTTATAATTTTAGATAATGATACGTGGCGTGACGGAATAGTTAAAATTTCTATCCAAAATTAAACATAAAATTATCTTTGATTATTTAAAAATAATAATTTTAATACAATTGCATGTGCAATTCATTTATGAGGTAGAGATGCACTCGGACACTTACTATTCACTAGGCAATAATTGTCTTTACCTAATTGCATGTGCAATTATTGCCTTAGTGGGATGAAGTTGCTCTTAAGTCTGTTGTATGGCAATGCAAGTCACTAAATTTGTTATGAGTAATGCTAGGAAAACTAAATTTGTAGACAATGTTTTGAAAACTAAAAGATATGGAAGTTGATGATTGGTTTATTACTTACATGTTGATAAACGTGTTTATTTCTATTAGTGACACATCATTTAATTTGTAAATTTAGTCTTCCTAATATTACCCATTTATTACAGACCACTCATTCTCTACTGACCACTTATATTATTGCTACGACTTATTATTTGAGGAGGTTAACAAATTATAATTACCATGTCCTTGTTAGGTTTTGGCCAAATTTTCAGATCTATTTTATTCAGCCACAGTCATAAAATTAAAATAAGTTTTAAATCCAATAGGGTTAAAATTAAATACCTTATGTACAAAAATGTTTAAAAGGCTCATGAGCTAATTAAGAGGTAAAATGTTAAGAGTCATTTGGCGATAATTTTCGTTTTTGTATTCCTCTTTTTATAGATATGAGATAACAAAGGGGAATAAATGCAACGATCATATTCACAATATAAGGTAGGTTTGAAAAACTAAAACCACTTATAAACTGATCATGGCAATCCTTGAAAACTCCTTCACAAGTAGCAAGACCAAGATTTCCTTTAGACAAACTATCTGTGTTAAGTTTAATCCAAGGAAACCAAGGTGGAGACTAAAGCAGAGGAAGAATAGTGGGCTCATTTCAAGTGATAGTTTGGATCCCAAGAGAAGAACACGAGTGTCATAACCTTGAGAAGAAGAAATGGCATGAGTGTCATAACCTTGAGAGTAACCAGGTATAAACTTCCTACCATAAACCAACCTAGAATTGATAGACATGTAAAGTCGATGAAAGTAGATTGGCCGACCTCAAAATAAATTTATTTCGAGCTTTCCAAATATTCAGAGATTATGCAACTGTTGGAAAAATGGCTTATGCACAGACATCCCAAAACTCAGCCAAAGAATCTGAAAAAGGCAAAGAAGTACCAAATTGACATGCTAACACCGCCAAAGCAGCCTAGATATCGGACAACCAAATAAAAGATGAGCAGTAGATTCCTCAGAATTATGACATAAACAACAAAAAAAAAAGCAAAATATATACCACGTCATTTTAGTAGTCAAGCCAAAATAGATAGTCGCGGCGGAATAAAATGATGCCAATTAACCTCAGCCCAAGCACAATCATTATGTTTCTTTCAAATAAGATGATAACCAGAGAAAAGCAAAGATAGACCCCTGCTCAGAGCATCCTCCACCACATAGAAAATGAGTGGAGAAAGAGGGTCTCCCTGATGTACACCTTGATAGCAAGAGAAAACCCATGTGGTGTGCCATTTACAAAAATTAAAAAGTGAGCTAACTATGATAAAACATGCACACAGTCCACAAACATACGAGAAAAACCAAAGCTAGAAAGCACATGGAGAAGAAAATTTCAGTTCAAAGTATCAAAAGTTTTAGCAATATCGACTTTTATGCCCACGTTAAAATCAAAAGCCTTTCAAAAATGTCGTTTGTTCAAGAGACATGATATAATTGTATATAATAACAAAAATAAAAATGGTAGTCGAGGTAGTTGCAACGACAGCGATTGGGGGGGGGGGGAGGGAGGGGGGAGGAAGTGGTGGTGGTGATAGCAGCAACAATGGTAAGGGTATGGTGGTGGTGATAATAGCGGGTGTTGTGATTAGGGTGTAAAGGTAACGATAGTAGTAGGGGTGGAGGTAGCATCAATGTTGGCGGGTGTAATTGTGGTGGCAGTGATGACAGTTGTGGTATTGTTGGTGGCAATTACAACAACGATGGAGGTGGCAATGGTGGTGATGTTAGTGGCGGCGATTGTGGTTGTGGTAGTAGTCATGGTGGTTATGGTTGTGGTGGCAATGGTGGTTGTGGTGGCAATTATGATGGTCGTGATTATGGTTATGGTGGTAGTGGTGGCGGTGGTGACGATTAGTAATGGTGGTGGTTTAATGTTAGTATTTGTAGTGGTAGTGGTGGCAGTCACTTTGTTTGACAATGGATGATATGTGTGTAAAAGGATAAATAATGTCATTTTAAAAAAAACAAACTAATGAGGATATTACAAAAATTGAAAATATTCATTAAAGACTCAACTCTTTTTTCTTTTTCTTTTTTTTTTTTTTATGAAAATTGTTGTCAAGAAGTCATTTTTTTTTTTTTTTTTTTTGGTTAAAGAGAAGTCATTGCCTTTAAAATAAGTAGGATATTTTTTTTACTAAACTTTTTTTTTATTACTTAACTTTAATGTAAATTAGCTTTTGATGAAAAAAAATGCAATACCAGACAAAACCTTATGATGTGTGGTATATTTAAAGTAAAGGTTGTGTGAATAAAATGACATTTAATATTCGGAAATTATGCAAAAGCTAATGTTAGGCCGAAAACCATTTGCAGTAATTAGTTAGATTTTTTTTCTAGCGTTTTGGCCCCAATATAATTAGCTAGGACATAAAATTTCACAAGGTCGATATATGAGTCCTGATCGAGATATCATCTCCCAATCTCAATCCACATATCACTTACGACACATTTAAAAAGCAAACAACCATACAATAATAAAATGTGGTATTTTCTTTCAAATAAAAACATAATGATTAGATTTTTCTTGATTAATGATAGAAATCTAGATTTCCAATGAAAAGATGCTTAGTATCTTCTTTGAATTTTATGAGGCAGACATGGACTACTCGAGCTTGGACTTACCAGAACTCACCTACCATTTTATGTCACTTTTCATTTGGACCAACATTAAAAGCCAAATCGACACCTACCTCCACTAATCTCCCACCAGAATGGAACGCAAAATGGTGCACAAAATTGAGAATATATATGGACCCCAATCAGTCTTAATACTTTTCTCCTGCTGCAACTAGTCTTGTGCACATATAATTGTTTTCACCCAAAGGCTAAGAATATGAAAAAGTATCATTTCCGGATCCACTTTGGGATGATCTTAGGGATTCTCACATTGTAATCGTTCATCATACATCATGTAGTCACTTTTCGTCAGATACTATTTACGTTTAATTTTAAATTAAAAAAGTCAAATAATTTTTGACATACATAATAAATGACTAAGATATGGAAATTCTTAAGATCCCCACAAAGTGAATCGGGATGGAATCCAATTCTTAAGAATATCACTCTAAACTTTGGGAATTTTACATTTTATGAATCTGTCTTCGGAAATAAAACATTACTCTTCTACTTAATTTGCTTGTTTAACATTTGTGACATCTCAACCTCGTATATCTTTTTGCTCGTTTTTCCTGGTCCATTTTTCCCCATTTTTTAACCTTACTTTTATTTTTGAATTTGTCATCATTCTTAAAGATCGAGTAACTTTACACTTTACAAGGCCACCGGAATTTGAGGCCAACTCTTATTAAAGCTTTTTCTTTTTGTTATTATATTTAGCAGCCTGGCCTGAAATTTTGATTGATCTCGTTCTTGTCGTGCTCTTCACTGTACAACTTGAGCAAAAATCATAAGTGGCTAACTTTTGCTTAGAAAATATTTAAATGATGAAAGGCAATCGATAAAACTAGTTAGTATGATATATTATTTGATTAGCATCAATGAGTAGTCACCAACCAGAAGAAGTAATGATACCAAAGCACAACGCACCAATGAAAGGGTAATAGGAATTGTTCATGTATTTGGCTGTTAAGCCTACAACTTTTGGAAAATTTTTTGAACTGCTTAATGCTTGGTTTATCTCAAAAATGTCAATCGCACAAGACGAACCGTCTTTCAGAAAACTCCTCTTAAAAAAAAAAAAAAAAAAAAAAAAGTAATGTTATGAAGGTTAAATTTGTAGATAAAATTTTGTAAGGATAATGCTAGAAAGATCAAAATTTTAAACTAAATTTACAAACCAAATAATGTAAATTTGGTTTGCAAATTAATCAAAGATTAAATAATAATCCAATCATCAACAACCACATCATTTTAGTTTGCAAATTTGGTTTAAAATTGGATCTTCCTAGCATTATTCATTTTGTAAACCAAATGATATGAAAGCTGATGATTGAATTATTATTTAATTGTTGATTAACGTACTTATTTCTTATTGGTGACACATCATTTGATTTGCAAATTTGATCTATCTAGCATTACCATGAAGAAGAAAAAAAGATAACCATTCGTGTATTCTCTACCTAGTACTAGAAGTAATATTACTAGGGACTTTAATCACTACATATAAAAACACTTGGGTCATTTTCTTGGTGATGTACATTATATTATATTATAAGGTTATAGTACTGGTAGTGGGTGGCAAGCAAAACGACAGTAAGAGGAAAAGTCTATTAACAGAAGCTTGGAATCCTCATCTCCATTCATACAGTAAACAACAATATATATAATTAATTTAATTTGAAACGTGATATTGGCATTCCAAAAATCTCATTTTACACTTCTTACAAATGTATTTTTCTTTCTAAATATAGAAAATTTGGAGTATAGAATAAGAAATTTGAAGTGCCAATAACAATTCCCTTTAATTTTAGCTTTTTAGGTTTTGAAGCTTCCAAGTGCTTATAAAAAGACAGACAGATTGCAAACTCACAAGTAGAGCAATAACAAAAGCTCATTTTACTGAGCTTGAAGTATTCCTCTCCTTTTTGTTTCTCTCTTTGCATCTGGTCTTCTTTGCATATCCCACAATGGAAGCAAGAAGTTCCTCAGTTCTAATATTCTTCTTCATGTTCCTGGCTATATCTTCAGCCTTCCCAAAACACAAAGACAAGTACAAACCGTGCAAGCACTTGGTGCTATTCCTCCATGACATTATCTACAACGGAAAAAATGCTGCCAATGCTACATCTGCGATTGTGGCAGCCCCTCAAGGATCCAACCTAACCATCTTGGCACCGAATTTTCATTTCGGGAACATAGCGGTTTTCGATGACCCCATTACCCTCGACAACAATCTGCACTCCAAGCCTGTGGGCAGAGCACAAGGGATGTACATGTATGATACAAAGAACACATTCACTGCTTGGCTGGGCTTCTCATTTTATCTAAACAGCACAGACTACCAAGGCACAATAAATTTCATCGGAGCCGACCCCATTTTGATTAAATATAGGGACATATCCGTCGTGGGTGGCACCGGGGACTTTTTCATGCACCGGGGAGTTGCAACCATACACACGGATTCATTTGAAGGTGAAGTCTACTTCAGGCTCAAGGTGGATATCAAGTTCTATGAGTGTTGGTAAATTTGTGGTTGTTAATAAATATATATTTAGTCTTATGAGTTTTGGTATGTGGGGAATTACTGAGAATGGTGTTCAAATATGTTCCGCTTCATGGAGTGCTTAATTAGACTTTGCTAAGAATGCGCTTGTAGTCCATCAATAAGTGATATGCTTAAACAGTCACTTTTGTAATTTCAATCATTTTGCTTACATATACTTCTTTTTGACAAATAAGCTGCATTTTGATCCAGTGCATGAATTTTAAGACTATCCAACTCCAAGCCTCATATGGAAATGCACCATTGTTTTATGAACATATACAACTACACAAAAGAAGTTCAAGAACAGAGGCGATTTAATTAGTACTTCATCGTGATTAGGGGATGATTACAAATAATTACGATCACAACGTGGAAATAGCAGATCATGTACTAAACAAACACACAAATTTTGCCATTTTGAGAGAAGGGATGAACTTAAAAGTTAAAACAGTGATACTTTTTATAAGAGATTCTAGCATATAACCGGAAGATATACTTATTAATATGTCTCATTACGTCTTTCACATCACTTTGTTGAAAAGCAGGTTATGAACATCACTTTGGTGAAAGCAGGTTATGAATCCTAAAAAAATATGAAAAGCTTTAGAGGCAACTTGATGACTTCTTGAGTGGACTTGAGAATGCGTCACCCGACTACTTGTGATTGATACAATACTAAATTACTTATCATTACTTGATTACATCATGGAAAACTCAAATGTTTTGGCTCAATATGACTGATCGCCAACGTCCATTATTAGTAGGTGTAGAATTTTATCGCTAAGTCTCAGTAATATTAACGAACCTCCCATGTATGAAATATATATTATTTTGTTTTATATTCGATGTGAGACTTCATTCTTCTGCATATAAAGTGGGTGGAAAAATAAGCGTGTAAGTGTGTACAACAAATACACAAGATGGTAACTGCTTGTCGGCTACGACCACTATATCAAATGCTTTTCCTGCTTAATGACATTCAACAAAGATCACCCTCAAATTAACTATGTATCTCTTAAAACCGTGGCCCAACACCATACTTGTTGGCCCCTTACTCCGGCTTGAGGGTACAGTGGCATCATCTATCGCCCTCCTCTTAACCACCCCTTCCTAGTCCATAGAACCCCTACTCCCATCCCCCTTCATTTCCCCTTGACCGATGCCTCGGCGCCCCTTCCCCTTTTCCCCTTTTTCTTCATTTTATTGGTGTTGCCCAACACCTCTTCTCCCCCACCGTTTTGTGGGCAACCATTTTTCATGTCTTTGATGGAGCCTCTGCCCAAAAATAGAGATCTACCCCTCTCAAGCCCTAGATATATGACTTTGAGTTGGTTCTCTTATTCTTGGTGGGTAGGATCCGCCTCCTATAACTGATCTTCATAGTGGATTTACTCTTCCTAGTCCTGTTTGTGGCGGCACAACCTTATTTGGCTAGATATGTGGTAGCCCCACCTTACTTAACTCTTGGTAAGCGAGTGATGTGGCCTCACTTGTCAACAATGATTTTGACGTGATCTCACTTGCTAGTAATTACATTGCGTGTGTCCTAATATGGTAGTTTATTGCACCTACCGTCCTTGTGACAAATCTTTACCGGTGAAAAAATAACTTTTAGGGTTGCATTTCAAGCATCTTTTCATATCTAAACTATATATTAACAAAACTTTCTTTGTCAACCAAAACAGGGTGAAAAAACAATTTGTTATTATATTACAAAGCAAAATCATCGATAGTAATGTAATTTCGCACGAATCATATTTTGCTATTTTATTTTTTGAGTGTTGATCAAGCCACACACATGTCCTATTTCTCCACCCACCTGTTAATAAAAACTTTAATGACATATTTAACCATTTATCAAAAGACCTTTAAAACCCTATTTAAACTAATTTAATATGCAAGTGACACTTTACTACAATGTTGGAAAGGTGTTAGTCTTCGCATGACGGCATAAGTTCAAATCCTGTCAGTGGCATCTAATCTAATAAAATATATCGTTTAACTAAAATATAAAATAAAATAAATAACTAATTTAATATATTTCTAGCAAAAATAGAAATATAAAATATGAAAAAATAGGTAGAAATGCGATGAAGAGCCCAATTCATTTCTCCCTCTTCCTCCCCCTCCTTCATTTGTCTTCCTACCCCCAACCCTAGTTCTCTCTTTCCCCTTCTCCCTTGTTCTCTCCCACTTATCAAGTAATGAAATCATATCTTTCATAATCCAATCTCTCCCTAAATTTCTCTCTCTCTCTCTAAAAACTCAATTTTCTTACTCACTAAGATAACAGTTTCTATATGGTATCACGTCACTCTGCTTCACGACGATTGATCCTCTTCCGCTGTTCAAATCGATGAATGTTCATTGATTTTCTCTCATTTTCTTTGAATTCATACCTACAATTTCTATTTTGAGCATTGATTTAATTTCTGTTAGTCATGGCATTGCTCTCGGAGTCATCTTCTCCAATCAAACTGACATTGCCAAACCCTAATTTTTCTTGAATTTCTGGAATTTTTCCAGCATCAAATTCTTATACCTCTCTGACGATTCAAAATAGGTAGTATGGTTCTGATCAAGTTGAAACAATCGAATTACCTTCCATGGTGTGCCTTGTTTGCACCTATTCTACGTCAGTTGAAGCTCATCGGCCTCATTGACAACATTGAACCATGTCCATCGCTGCTCTTGCATGATCGCTCTCTCAACCCTACCTTTGAATCATGGTATGAAAAATATCAAAACCTACTTTTTTTTGTTGAACTCTACACTGTCTGAGGAGATTATTCCCTTCACTGTTGGTGTTTCATCATCGCATAATCTCTGGATCAAACTTGAGCAACGATTTGGTGGTGTATTGGATGCTCATATTCATCAACTACGATCTCGTCTTCAAGTAGTTCAAAAAGGCTCTGAATCGATCTCTGAGTACCTATAACAAATCAAAGAAATCTATGACTCTCTCATAACCGCTAGATCTGCTGTCTCTGATTGCAACTTAATTGCAGCAACTCTTCATGATTTGCTTGATGAATTTGAGTCCTTCATTGACTCAATTATGCTTCGTCTCTCATCTACCTTTCTTGATAAACTTCATGGCTTGCTTCTTACAAAAGAGATCTCTATGGCTCGCATAAAACAATCCATGTCATCCACCACTATTGAGCCATTTCAGGCTTCCTCTAAGCAGTTTTAGGCACCTCTTCTCCATACTCCTCCACAAGTCTTTGTTATTCAAAATCAGCCACTGCAAAACTCATTCAGGCACAATTCTAATCAAGATCGTAATAATCGAGGCTACAGCACCAACAGAGGGAACAATCAAGGAAATTTCAATCATAACAACTATCAAGGCAATAATCGAGGTAACTATTCTCGTGGCAATTATTAAGGCTCTCGTGGCAATTATTAGAACTCTTCAATTCACACAGATTATAAGGTTCCTTGTCAAATTTGTGGCTCCACTAGTCATGAAGCAATTTATTGCTTTGATCGCATGAACCATGAGATCTTTGGAAGAGTACCACCAGCAAAATTGGATGCTTTCTGTGCTCCCTACTCTTCCAAGTCTAATCTATTTTGGCTGATCAACTCTGGTGCCACCTTTCATATCACAAATGATATCGCAAATATCTTAGCACCATCTTTATATACTAGTGAAGACAAGGTTTACATTGGTGATGGTAAAGGTTTGTCCATTTCTCATGTTGGTCATTCCTCTTTGAATACTTCTCATGGTTCCTTTAAATTGAGCAATGTCTTACATGTTCCTCACATGAAACACAATTTATTGCCTGCTTATCAATTTCTAAAAGACAATAATTGTGCATTAACTATTGACCCTGATGGAATCACTGTCAAAGATCGTATTTCAGGAAAGATGCTTTTGCAGGGACCAATTAAAGATGGCTTATATCCATTTCAAGCATCCAGTACACCCTCTTCATTTCCTTCAGCCTTAATAAGTGTCAAAGCTCCTGTCAAAGTTTGGCACAAAAGATTGAGACATCCTTCATCATCCATCTTTAAAAGGATATTGTCTAGAAATAAAGTAGCATTACAAGAAAAGTATGTTGTTGATTTCTTTTGTGTTGATTGTTCTCTTACTAAGAATCACAAACTTCCCTTCAATACTACTAGATCTGTATCTACACAATGTTAGAGTTGCTTCATTGTGATTTGTGGGGTCCTGCCTTAAGGATTTCACTTAGTGATTTCAACTATTACATGTTACTTGATGACTATAGCAAGCATACCTGTTAGTCACCCACCAAGGCTCTCTTAGATGGCCTAGGTGGTCTAGGTGGAGGAGTGAAGGGTTTATGGGAAGAAAGTTCAAATAAAACCCAGAATTGAAAACACTCTAGCCGCTTCGACTCCCTCTCTCTGCACCACGACTTCCTCTCTCTCGCCATCGCAACTACCTTTATCTCTGCACTCCATCGAAGAAGGAGAATTATAGAGCAAAACAAAAGAAGAGGAAACGGAACACAAAAAGAAGATGAGAATTTACAGAGTAATTAGAGAAGAAGAAGAATAGGAAAAGGAAAAAAACCCAAAGTTATAATGCTTTCCTCTTTCCAAAGAAGAAGAGGAAACCAAAAAATAATAATGTTGTCTACTTTCCAATGCGTAAAAATGACACTTTAATCAAATTTCAAAAAGACACAAATGTTTAGGGTAAAAGACATAAAAAAATTGTAGGGGATTGTAATTTTCTCATTCCATTTTTCATTCCCCTCTTTTCTCTCTTATCCCCTGCCCGCAGACTCCCTCCATGTCCCTGCCTCCAATTTCTCCATTCTTCTCTCTCCGTTTCTCGATCTTCTCACTCCAGGGTGAGATCTTTAGTCTATCTTATTTATTTTGTCGATTTACGGGTTTTTTTAGGGTAAATTCCACAGAGGGAGGCTGAAATTTTGGTGTAAATTTATGGGTTGTTGTTTTGGTTCGTATTGCAGATTTCTTCGATTTTTGTGTTGTGGGCTTGTTAGTTATTTGTGGGTTTGTGTTGTCAGTTCGTATTGCAAATATGTTTTCAAGTTTTGGTTCTTTAAGGATATTTCTTTATGATTATTGTTTGATGATTTGTTGGGAGCATATTTTCATGGAGGGATTGGTTAGAACTCATGTTGAAGATTTGTTGTATTCTTGTTACCCCGTCTAAGGGATTATTCAACATTAAGGACTTTAGGATTTACAAATGTTTATGTTCGTATTGCAAATATTGATGATTTGTTTTATGCAACCATCATTGCGAGTCACCCCAGTTTGTCTTCATTTGAGGCAAAAGCACCAATATCCAGATTAAAAAAAAAAAAAAAAATCACGAAAAAAACTGAACCGGACCAAAACCAAATCGAAAAAAACCACACTAAAAAAAAATGAAACAGACCAAACCAAAATTTTGGTTTGGTTTCGATTTTGGTGAAAAACCAAACCCAGCCCTACTTCCTTTCTTCGTATGCTCTTATTTTATAAGATCACTATAGCATTTCTATTCACTTTACAAACTTTCCTCAAATGAATAGTAAAATACTGCGCATGAATAGTAACACATCCGTTTTTCTTAATCCATTTGATTTTTCTTTGGATGAATAGTAACAAACTATTCATGTGAGCCATCCATATATTATATTCAACAAACTTATTATTTTATACCTACGAATTAATTAATTTAAATTACCAAAAATTCAAAATGTTATGATTTAAGTTAATTTATATAATATATAATACATATACTTAAAACCGTCTAGCCCGCCTAGACTTTCGCCTAAGCGCTAGGCTCCAACTCACAGCTCGACTAGCATCTAGTTTTTTTTAGAACCTTAGTACAAAGATAAGCACCAATATCCAGATTTTTAAAAACAAAAAAACAAAAAAATCACGAAAAAAACGGAACCAGACTGAAACCAAATCGAAAAAAATCATACTGAAAAAAAATGTACCGAACTAAACCGAAATTTCGATACAATTTCGGTTTTGGCAAAAACCAAATTGATTTAAACCGAACCCAGCCCTACTTCCTTTCTTCGTATGCTCTTATTTTATAAGCAAAGGATTACTATAGCATTACAATTCACTTCAGAAACTTTCCTCAAATGAATAATGAAATACTGTGCATAAATAGTAACACATCCATTTTTCTTAATCCATCTGATTTTTCTTTGGATGAATAGTATCAAACTATTCATGTGAGTCATCCATATATTATATTCAACATACTTATTATTTTATACCTATAAATTAATTAATTTAAATTGCTAAACATTCAAAATATTATGATTTAAGTTAATTTATATAATATATAATAAATATACTTAAAACCGTCTAGCCTGCCTAGACTTTCACCTAACCGCCTAAGAGCTAGGCTTCAACCCACAGCTCGACTAACGCCTAGTTTCTTTTAGAACATTGGTACAAAGATAAGAATTACTACTCTACGAAGAGGACCCGGCAAGGCATATGGAACCACATTGATCACACTTGCATTATGCAAGTTGCATAAAAGAAGAGATGACCGCCCACTCGGTTGGGCCCTCTCCTGCATCACACAAGTGTTTTGGTCAATTGGATTTTACATTTTATATTTTGTATGGCGTGTTTGTAGCGTTTGTTTTCTGGGTTCCCAGTATGTTTCCTTGAAATTGCAATCGGTGACTTCAAGTCTTACAGCTTGCTCACCAGCAAACACAAAGAAAAAACAAAGAAAGAGCTTGCTTGTGTTGTATGTGTGTACCTCCTTCAAAACATCTCTCTTGTTTCCTCCTGAATAACTAATGGAGTCATTCTCCTTTAACGTTGTAGAGAGAGTGTTGGAAAGGCTTGCTTCCCATGCTTACCAAGAATTGTTTTTGGCATTTGATGTCAAATATGAGCTAAACAAACTTCGGGAAACCCTATCAACCATCGCAAAAGTTCTTCTCGATGCGGAGGAAAAACAGCGGAAGGATCACCTTCTCACTGATTGGTTGGGAAAGCTGAAAGACGTTTGCTATGATATAGACGACGTCCTCGATGAATTCGAGTTTCAAAAGTTGCGGATGCAGGTGCTCAGCCTTGGGACTGGGAGTAACACCATCAAAGGAAAGGTACGCAACTTCTTTTCACATCGAAATTCATTCGTGTCAAGCTACAAAATGGGCCATAGAGTCAAGGATATTAGAGAAAGGTTAGGTGAGATTGCAGCTGCAAAAGCTCAATTCAATCTCGCCGAACGATCTGCAGATTGGCATGGCATGCACATGGAGAGGGAGACCCACTCTTTTGTGCACGCCCCAGATGTTATAGGGAGAGAGAGCGAAAAAAAAGAGATTGTCGTCCAACTTTTTAAGGACACTCACACTGGCCCAGGTGATGAGGAGAATGTTTCTGTTATTTCAATTAATGGATTAGGAGGATTGGGAAAGACTACGCTTGCTAAATTGGTGTATAATGATAACATGGTAGTGACCAACTTTGAGTTAAGAATATGGGTTTCCGTCTCAGACGATTTTGATAGTAAAAGATTGCTTCGCGAAATTGTTACTGCGGCAACCAGCCAAAAATGTGGTGACGAAAGTATTGAACAGATGCAAATGAAGTTGCGACGTGCTTTGACTGGTAAAAAACTTTTGCTGGTGTTGGATGATGTCTGGGACAAGGGGCCAATGGGAATAACAGTCAAAAAATGGATTGATTTAAAATCGTTGTTAAATGTTGCAGCTTGCGGGAGTAAAGTTATTGTAACAACGCGCAATGAATCAGTAGCTTTGCTTATGGGGTATGCACACATGCATCTGTTGAAAGTTCTTCCCCTCTCAGATTGCATGACCATATTCATAAAAGTGGCATTTGCAAGAAGAGAAGAGCAAAACCATCCGAACTTGATGAAAATAGGGGAAGATATTGTGAAGAAGTGTGGAGGGTTCCCCTTGCCTTGTACACCCTAGGTGGCCTACTCTGCTTGAACAAGGACGAACGTTATTGGTCACGTGTAAGAGATAGTGACATATGGAAATTGGAACAAGGAAGCGACGGCATTTTACCTGCACTCATGTTAAGCTACGATGCGTTGCCAGTTTACTTGAAACCTTGTTTTGCCTTTTGTTCACTGTTCCCCAAGGACTACATATTTCGAAGTTCAGAATTGATCCCGTTGTGGATGGCTCAAGGCTTTGTTCAATCCTCCAGAGGATACCAAGAACCTGAAGATATCGGTCTGGACTACATTAGGAAATTATGTTCTAGATATTTCTTCCAGATTGAGGAAGATAATGTCCGTTTTGTACGGTTTAGAATACACGATCTAGTTCATGATTTAGCAATCTCAACAGCACAGCTAGAATACTCATCTCTAAATTTTCGTCCTGGTGAATCTTCCACGATGATCCGGCATGTGTCAATATCTCAAAAGGAATTGTCCAAGGATAAAGAAGAAGACCCCAAATTCTTACTCCCTTTTGAGAAATTGCGAACCATTCTAATTCCAGACTTGAATAGTGAATATCTTCCTACAGAAGTTGGTGTCAACAATCAATCTTTTTTGAAGAGATGCATCTCAATGTTCAACTGCCTCCGGGTTCTAGATCTTAGTAACTTGACCCTCAAGGTACTGCCTAGTTCCATCGGTAGCTTGAGTCACTTGAGATACCTCGACCTGTCGTATAATCAGCGGATAAAGAAGCTTCCTGATTCCATTTGCAAGCTGCAGCATTTGCAGACCTTACTGCTTATAAACTGTGGAAAAATCAAGGAGTTACCTGAAAACATGGGAAACCTGATTAGCCTCAGGTACTTAGGTTTAACCATAAACCAGCGCCATTTGCCAGAAGTAATTGGACGTCTCACCTCTCTTCGAACTTTATACATCACTGCGTGCAAATATCTTGTATCCTTCGGGGAAGGGGTGCGAACCCTGCCTAATCTTCGAACGTTGATTATAGTGAACTGTCAAAATATGAAGTCTCTGTCATGTAATATGACTGCATTGGAGAATTTGGCTATCTATAATTGTCGTGTTCTTGATCTGATGAGGTCGGGAGAAGGTATCCGAGGTCTTCAATCATTGTGGATTGTAGGTTCAAATTTGTTGGAGTTGCCGCATTGGCTTCAAGAGTCTGCAAACACTCTGAAAACGTTGCACTTGGGATATTGTACTTATCTCGAGTTACTCCCGGAGTGGTTCGAGAACCTCACTTTTCTCCAACAAATAAAGATTAGAAACTGTTCCCATCTGTCTGATTTTCCAAAGGGCATGCATCGCCTCACGGCATTGAGAGAGTTGGAGATTTACAACTGTCCTCTAACCAGAAGATGCAGACCGGAAGAAGGTGAGGATTGGCACAAAATCGCTAATGTTCCGAAGATTATACTTAATGGGCGTATTATCTCATCGGCTGCTAACTAGGTAACAATATTCTAGTTCTTGATCTCTTCAACTGAATGTGTTAACCTGTGGTTCTTCTGACACTAAATTTTGCTATATGCCTTTTTATGTTAGTAATTCCAAATCCAAATGGTTCTCGTACTAATTTTTCAATTAGATTTATTTGAAGGATATTGTGCTTTTGGAGTGGTTAAAATCACTTTTTAGTGCGATTTGTAGTGCTTCTTTAGGAACTACTTGCATTTACAAATTCATGCATGCTTATAACGAAAGTGCGTATGAGTAGAACCAACGGGCACTTACTCTCGCATACATTGTAATTACTTGAACGTGTAGGATCTATGTTTTAAGTACAAATCTTTTAACTACCTAGTTCCCTAACACTATGTTTGGATGAGGGAAATAAACATGGAATTTTGTTAAAAGTCAGAATTTGTAAATTGACAGGCATCAATTCTCTTGTTTGGATTCATAAGCATAGAAATTTAGAATTTCCGCATGGAAAAAAAACTTGGAATTTGGGACCTCTAAATCCCAAGTTCAAATTCCATGTAAATAGGTGTCATTTCTCAATTTCTATGATTGAGAGTTTAAAAATAACAAATTCCGTATTCAATTTCATTGTTCTTTTAAGTTAACCAAACAAGAAAATTTACAAATTCTAGAAAATAAAATCTCGTCATTTCAATTTCCGTCATTTTTAAATTTCTTAGTAATCTTAAATTTCTTCACCCAAACATAGTATAATGTTTTCAAAAAATTGCAGATCGCATGGATTGCAGAAAAAGGATGGAGCATTGTAGCCATTTTTTGGAGTTTGGAATAAGTGAGTGTGTGTATATGTACAAAGTGTGATGCGAGGATGTTTTTCCAACTTTTATGTTTTTTTTTTCTGAATTGTGGATGCTATAATTTGGATGATTAAGAGAGTGTTTACAACTTAATTAGTCACAAGGGAAACATCAACTTTGCTGGTGTTGATCCGCTCATGAAAACAAGACCAGTTATGCTTCGATGGTCCCGCGTTTTAAAGGGCGTCGTGTTCTTCCGGCTTTGCATTGACGTAAATCTGTACGAGCGTGACAGATTAGTTTATGGCGCTCGTGCTTTTGAATTTGAGTTTCTGAAATTGCACAACTGGGAATACGAGTTGTAAGTTTTACTTGAAAAGAAAATGGCTCAAGAATCCCCGAGGCATAAGATTGCTGACAAGAACATTTATTCTTTTACAAGACTGACGGAAAAAATGAAAACGTCTCACAATATTTACATCTGTCTCTAAGAGAAAATTGGCAATCTTTGATCCCCTGATGCGTATGAAATAATACTCCTCTTAAGGGGTGGAAAGTACTGTGCTCCACTGAATGCAGCTGCCCGTAAAACATTTAAAGGACCGAAATCAACGGAGTAAGCCTTCTGGAACCCGTCCAGGATTGCCATCATTGTGACATTTGCTGATTTCCGCTCTGCTTCGTATTTCTTCAACAACGATACCTGCGTAAGTTTAGAGATTCGTCGTCAAATGAGTCGATTCAAGCAATGAATTTTGAATAAAAGACTAAAGAAAATTCACCTACCTCGGCAACATCTGCTCCCACTGCAATTCCCTCCGAAATGATTCTTGAAAGAGCAAACGCGTCTCCAAAACCCAAATTAACCCCTTGTCCAGCCAAAGGGTGAACGGTATGTGCTGCATCGCCGATGAGAACCACACGCTTTGACGCGTAGTTGTTGGCATGCATCAAAGACAATGGAAACACCATTCTTTCAGACGCCAACTTCAACACTTTCGGTGGAACTTTGAAGCAATCATTGGCAGATGAATTCGTGTTTGTTTTAAACCAAGAAAATATGCCTCCACCTCCCGAGGTGCTTGAATTAGGATGTGGACCAAATCCATAATCCAGAGCATAATTGACATCTTTCACAAATTCATCCTCAGCCTTTAATTTACGGTCAGTTGCTTCTTTCGGTTTCATAGTCCAAACAATATTGCTGAAATTATCACCTATTGGCAAAAGTGCAATTGGCCCAGCAGGTAGAAAGCGTTGCCATGCACATCGGTTTTCCACACTATGTTCGACAGTACAAATGATTGCATTCTGCGAGTAACTCCATCCAGTTGTCTTAAATCCTGCCAACTCTCTAACACGTGACTTGGACCCATCAGCTCCAACCTGCAGTAAGACTATGTGACTTGATGCCAATCCATAATTTACGAATTACAGTATTTTCTGAAACTTTGCCATTATGACTTTAGCTGTTTCTGTGATCTTATTATCATTTAAAGGGGAAATAGAATTCTTCAAATGCAACCGAAAATTACCACCAATTTTGCATATAGACTGTTGCCATCAATTAGATCAAGCTTCGCTAAGTTCCCCTGCTCATTCAATCCAGATGACGTGCTTCCCACCCCCATGGATAAGTTTCTTGGCTGTAAAGTCATTGTGGACAATCTGGAAGGGTAGATAGTCTTCTGGAAATCTGTATTCTGTTAAAGTTTAACCTTATTAGCAAATAGAAAATATTAAGACTTGCATGCAACAAATGAAAACAACACATATGTCATTTCTCAAAAACACGACAGAGAATTAAGAGAAGAATGGACGGTGGTTTAGAGAAACTTTTTATCAAGAAAAAAAATGTCAGGAAATGATATCTTCAAGGAAAACGGATAGATAATAATAAATATGAGAACACACAACTCAGCCACCAAAAATAAAGAGACAAAACAAGAACAATATGAACCAAGAAATTACACGAGTGATTACAGGTTTCGTTTGTAATAAAATAAAATAAAAAATTAACCATTCAGCTTTGCTAGATACCTGCATACATGACAATAGAGAACTGTGCAGTACTTTATTCTCCACTACACACCTGATCATAAGTCGAAATCGGCATCAGATCCTCCTAGTAATGCTAATAAATGAATTGCAAAAAGAAAAAAAAATCATCTACTTCTTACCCCAGAGAATCTTTATGTACATCTCTTGCATCGTACCTTGTATATCCTAAGCCAGTATAGTCCCAAACCTACAAGAGATCATAGAAGAATAGATAAGTCTTTCACTAAATTCAACCCCCACCAATCATCCATCATATCGCGTCAGCTAGATGGAAATATTTAAAGAGCACTGTAATTCATTTTAAGACGAAACCACAGTGAGAGTAGGACGCAACAGAACAGAGTTGGGAGAAAATATAAATTCACTATAAAAGGCCATTAGGAGTCAAACTATTGATGTAAAAACAAAAAGAGAAGTTCAGAACAAAATTTTATTTAAAAACATCAACTCAGTCAAGCTTGAACATAATAATGAGCCTTGTATAAAATTAATCAAAGTATACAGCATATCTTTCAAATTACCAAACCTTTCAATAGTGAAGCACAATTCTCTCAAACTGGGCTATCTCCCTTTCAGTTGACAAGACCAAATTCACTGTGAGAGAAATTATTTACATAATGATTATTAACTAACGCACTAGCCATGAGTAATTACTGTGGTCCCATCCTAAACCCCTAAACATTGGTCAAGTTGTTTTATTTCAACGAAATGCACTCATTCGCACAATCTCTCATCTATCAGATTCTGTTGCCCATTATTCCTTGTCAATGATCAGACAGTAGAGTTTGCAATGGGACTAAAACAAACAAGTCTGGTCTGAAACCATCTATCAATTTGTTTCTCATGATCAACTACAATAAAGATGTGTAAAAGGTATAAAAGCAAACTAACGAGGGAAAACTGAACAATTAGATATGTATACTAGTGGTTGAGATCATGATTTTTCAGCAGTGAAAGGTTTATTAATTTGAATCAAATCTGAAAAATACAGTAAGTCAACATGGGAACACAAACAGAATGGTAACTACTAAACTGCTATGAAATTTGGAAAAGTCAGTCACCTGCATTTGATCAAAATATGCATGTCTATTCTGTTCCACATATTTCCAAGCGCCAATATCTGTAAAGTACAAGTGTTATTGAAATTCCATAACAAGTTTAATATTTGTTTCTGACTACCCAAGAAAGCTGGTTAAAATAAAAATAAGTAAGCAAGTCAATCGTTCCTACAAATGGGGAATACAAGGTACATCTCATCTTATTTGAGCTCACTTAACATGATTGCTAGTGGAGAACGTGAGAAATTGATGCTGGCACATACAAATAACAACAAATATGTCGAGTTCAATACCTTTGAAGAGAGATATGGTCGCAGGTGTTACTGTACTGACCCTTGGATCAGGGGGGTCTTCCTTCTCGATGCTAAGCCCATTTGATACTGCGGGATTGCTATCAATGATGGCAACTTTCAATTGCTTTGTCAACGGCATTTTTGCTAAAGCAGCACAAGAATAAGACGATAGATTGAAATTTTTAGTGTATCAGTGAAGAAATGTGCTACATCACGAAATAATTCTCCTACTAAAGATGAATTTATTATTAGACTATTTAGCTTGAGCAACAAAAAGCACAACATCACAAAACAATTCACAAACTTTCTTCTAATCTCTTTTGACCTGAACCAAACCAAAGTAATATTAACCGAGTGAAGTCACGTCTTTAAGCACACATTTCGGGTGCTCCACCAAACCCATTCAAAAAGTCACTCATGTAAAAGTTGTCAGTCTATCTGCTGTAAATCTAAGAATCCACACTAGATGAATCATACATGTTAAGTAAGTCAATACGAATGAAAAACTCGATAACTGTTCAACTGGCCTTCGACTGGTAACAAAGCGGGAATATGCCGGGTGAAGGAACTAAAAAGAACCGGCGACATGATATCAACCGTAATTGCAACTTGATTTAGTTAAACAACTTATTCCCTGAGTCTCTAACACAAGAAAGTACATAATCATCTACAACAATGAAGTTATTAACAAAATCTAAAACAAACAAAAAACACTACCTACCCAAGGAACAAGCAAGAGCCATGCCAACCATCCCTCCTCCAACAATAGCAATGTCATACGGATTGCTTTTATTCGAAAAATTCGGCTGCTCCACACGACCCTGTGGATTTTAAAAGGAATCATCAAACCCAACAATGGGGAAACATTACTATTCTTGCAAGTTAATCCACTTTACTGGGTAAATACAAAATATACTGAGCTGTAAAAAAAACACTTATTTCGGGTCCGATATATGGTCAGAAAAAGAAAACCCATGTAGCAAAATATGAATAACATGTAATGGCTGAAGTTCAAGAGATTTACATTGCCGGGTTGGGCACCATTGGAGCTGGAAACTTGTGCAGCTGCGTCAGTACACAAAGTCCTTTGAGAAAGCTTCAATCTTTTGATACTTTCAGCAAGATTTCTTCTGATAATCAAGCTGTGTTATGAGAAAACAATCACAATTAGACTAAATCCCAACATATTTGAACCTTAATTTGCAGAGCCTAATCGCATATCAGCAAAAACGAATGGAAAAAGGCGTGAAATTGTGGCAAATTCGGGACCGGATGGAGGCTAGGGCACATAATGATAGGAATGCCGTCGTTTTGATGATCAAAGCGTACCTGTTCATTGTCGAATTGCAGGAGCTTCCACTGGTTCAGACTTGAGAGAGAGGGAGAGAGATTCGCTGAGTTGGAGAGGCGGTGCTTGCTTTTCTCTATTGGGAATTTGGCTTGAATAGCACTGTTGCTAAATCACTAATCTGAACTATCCATTTCCCTGTCCGTTACTAATAGGGCGATATTTTTTCGGTTCAATTTTTACCAAAAATGGATTTGAAACACATCGTTAATATTATTGTTAAAAAAAAAAAAAAAAAAAAAAAACCAATTCTCCTAAACACAAATCTGTACTAGCTTTTTTTAACGAAAATCTATTTTCTCTAGTATTATTCACGTAAAAAATTCTTTATACTATCCATGTGTCATTGTTTTGCATAAAAAAATCAATTAAAATTTCAAAAATATGCTTTGGCAAAATATCAAGGCCATATCAACAACGTCATCGGTGACATATGAACGTCATATTGACAACATATCATAGCATATTAACCGCTAAGACTTTGTGACTTGATAGGGTTTCCAACGAGATCGATCCTCTTCAAAAGATTGCCAATGAATTTGCATCTAGGATGAGGAGTTGAAGGGCGTGCTGCTGGTCATTGAGTTCTTGAATAAAGACTATGATGAGATGCGCATCGTCAATGAAGACTTTATTAAGACGAATGAGTAGTTGAAGAGCGAGAAGACAGGTCATGAAAGCGCTCTTGCCTAAGCTCAAGTCGACTTCTATAAGGTGGGCTATGTTGATCATCTTCAAGGAAGGTCGCATGACTATATATTTCCTGAGGGGAAGCCTAAAGACTTTCTCTATCTTCTCAGAGGATATGCTCAAGTTCGATTCCTATATAACAAGTTTATGGGAAAGGGAGGATGAAGAAGATTGATGGGAGAAAGGGGAAGAAATAAAGAACCTTGACCTCACATATTTCATGCATATCACTAACACAAAACGTAAAAACAAAATAATTATCAAACGACCTTTAAATGTGTAAGAAAAGTATTAAAAAAAAAAAAAAAAAGTATGCGGGTTTCACAACATAATTTCGAGAAAATAGCGGGGGTAAATGCAATTTCAATAAAGCAGATAAAACGGTAAGGATGTCTTGGCGCTTCATCATCCACCCTCTCCTCCCATTGCTTATCTTTCCCACTTGAGTTTCAAACTGTCAAACACTTGCAACCCCAAACACCAAAAAGCTTTCACTTTTAGGGAGAGAAAGAGAGGAGAGAGAGAGAGAGAGAGAGAGAGAGAGAGAGAGGCAGTTCCAGAATGCGGAGCATAACTCTCTCAGACAGCTTTTTGGGGGTGCACTCGCCGCCTTCGCCATTTCTAAAGCCCCCCAAGCCGCCATTGTTATGTTCATCCTGCTACTTGCTTTCCTTCAAATTGCGCTCGAAGAAGCTCATTTCCAAGCTTTCTCTCCCAAACCCAACTCTCGTTTCCACCAGGTGACTCCAGTACATCAACTCCCATCTCATTTTTTTCGAAAAGTTTTTCGAATTATGAATAGAAATTATGGGTTGGTTTCTCTTTTTGTTGGAAAATTTTGCCTTGTTCTTGAATTTTCGTGTGGAGAAATCCAATAATTTTTCCTTTTCTTACTCAAACGGGCTGGAAAAAAAAATGGAAATGCGAAACTGATGAAATTCATATGGAAAATGTTGTTGCAAGAATTTTTTTGGCTTAATTGCTGATATGGTAGACGACTAGCCGTGCCACTGTGTTGTTTGCGGTACAAGTTATATGTTTGGTTCTAAGTTCTAATTAATAAATGCCACTGGCATTGCATATATTTTCATCAATAAGAATGCAAACAAAAGTTGCTTTTTTAAAAATGTAGGTGAAAAATGGAACTGAATTGTAAAATGAAAGCAGGATTCTTGTGTTTCAGGTCTTCAAGAAAGTGGAATGCGGCAGACACCTCCGAGGAATGGATTGGACGTCTTTTACAAACTTCTGAAAATCCAGATGGCCTTGTAATGAATCTTCATGCCATTTCTCATTTATAACCTTGAAAGAAACAAAAGTGTATCTTTTTGTTCTCTGAGCATAATTTTGTAGTAGATGTTGCAGAAGATATGCAAATATTAAATGAAACTACCGATTTTGATGCAGGAGTTACAGTACCTTAATCGCAAGAAATGTCGGGTGACCACAGAACAATTTCATGTTGTGGATGATTACGTGGCTTTAGATACAGTCCTTGCAAAGGAAAACTCAAAAGCGGATAGTCACATGGACAGAGAGATGCACATTTCTTATAATCGATTCTCTCATTTTTGGAAGGCTATCATGCTGTGTGGATTTCTTGCACTTCAAGGCTCTGAACCTGCTTTTGCTGTTTCTGATCTTGCAAGTGGGTTGCCCTCAATTCCTTTTCTGGGGAACCTTGGCGATCTTAGCACAGGTTTTGCTTCAGTTAGGAAAATCTCCCTCTAACTTATGTAACCTGGCATTTTTGTTTTTGTAAGTGAAGCCTGAATTGTAGTCAGCACATCGTCATAAATTAGAGAGAACAATCTTCTGTTAGGCTTTGATGACTTCATTATATTTTAGTGCCCTTGAGCTTTCTATTTGGGATAATTTCTAGTGTACACATCTTCCTTCTTTCTTTCTTTTTTACCAAAATTAGGATAACCATTTATTAACATGCATCTCTGATGACAAGTAAATATAAGAGTGCGTTTTCCTTCTGTTGCAGGCATTTTTGCTGATCTTTTTCTCAGAACTAGGGGATAAGACCTTCTTTATTGCGGTAAGAGCTAAACATTTCATACTCCAGTAGTACTTCAATGTCAAGATCTTAGTGGACAGGGTAAACTTGTGCATATGGCGATTGATCTATTTTTGTAGACTCCATATGAACATTTTTCTACGCATTAGAGAGATTTTCATCTTCCTTATTTATTTCCCAATTGTCTTATCAACTGACTTATCAAATATTGTCCAAGTCTAACGAAAAAGGTATAGTTAGAAGAGAGAGATGCTAATGACTTTGGGTATGTTTGGGTGAGGGACTTCCAAGTCCCAAGGAATTTAGGCCAAGTAAAAAACATTAAATAGGAGGAATTATAAATTCACCCATATGAGCATTACAAAGACATGAAAGAACTATTTGTGAATGACTCCTTCCATGCAGGTCATTTGCAAAACCCTCTCGCATGTCTTTGTAATTTGCAAGTGGTACATTTCTAATCCCTCCTTATAACATTTTGTAATCCATTCCTTACTAATTTGGCCTCAATCTCTTAGGACTTAGAAGTCCCTAACACAAGCATTGCCTTGGGGATGAACCTAATTCCACAGGAACTCTCACAGTTGATTTGTTCTTTCTCTAATCTTATCTATTTTTCTTTATAATTAACATGTGCATATAAGTTTTTTTAGTGTTACGTAAAGATAGAATGCTTTGATCATGCATAAGTTTGAATTTTTCTGTTTTCTGCAGGCACTTTTAGCAGCTAGGAATTCAGCTCCGGTTGTTTTTATTGGGACCTTTGGCGCACTTGCGTATGTTATTCTGTTTGTGAATGGTGTGATACAAATGTTCTTTTGCATGATCAACTTCTGTTTACTAGATTATTGGAAAAGCGTTGTGTGAACATTTCCAATAATGTGTGAGCATAGGTCAAGCTGTAACTTTTAGGTTAAGCATGAAATCCACATGGCAAACTGATGCTTTTTAAAGCTAATAGCAATACATAGCATTTCAAATCTTATTAACCAAGTAATTGTGTTTTGAGACAAAAATATTTTCTTTCAGTATGGTAGTTACGAATAACACACACACACACACACATTCCTTATACAAGTGATCTATATTATCCAGAACTATTGTTTTGTAGTTGCAGTACATCCTTAAATCGTAGAATTGTTTACTTACAGGGCAATGACCATCATATCTGTTGTTCTTGGACGAACTTTTCACTATGTCGATGAAATCCTACCATTCAGGTATTTGAGATTTTCATTTCAGTAGGTCTTGATCATTGTATCTGTTAATTGTTCTTTATAAAATTATGCTATTGAGTGGTGTGGTACCAAACATAGCTTAAATGGTTTCACGGGGTATATTATCTGGGTCACAGCAGTAATAAATCTTTTCTGGTAATAAAGAGAAGCTGAGAAGATGAGAAACTTGGTTAAATTAACTTGTGGTAGGTAATTGCCAAATGCTACACGTAAAATGATGCTTTTGGTCCGATTTCTCGGTATTCATATAATTCTTAGGTCCTCTGCCTACTAGTATACATCACTTGGATATGTCTATACAATTTGTATCTCTTAATTATACTGTCATTTGTTCTGTATCACTCTGATTTGGTCTTTTGAGTACAGATTTGGCGAGACTGATCTACCCATTGATGATATTGCTGCAGTTTTGCTCTTGGTAATTTAATGCTTTGATTCTTAACGAGAACAATAGAACTACGATGCTTGCTTATAAGCATCCCTTTTTCCTTTTTGTGCTGGCATGACCACCAAATCTTGAAATCTGCTCCATAACTATTAAACATACGTAATTTCAGGTTTACTTTGGAGTTTCAACTTTGCGTGATGCCACCTCAAGTGATGGTACGAAAGCAGAAGATGAACAGAGGGAGGTAAATAATGGACTTATCTAGACTGTTTTTCTTTTCTTTTTTATTCCGTCTTTGTTTCCTTTTGAAGCTACATTTTTCTTTGTAATAGTTAATCTTGTTGTCATGTATGCATTCTTGAATTAGGCAGAGCTAGCTGTTTCAGAGTTTTCAGGAAATGGTTCTGGAATACTAGCTGCTGCTAGCACCGCCGCTAGCACCTTCCTTCTAGTTTTTGTTGCTGAATGGGGAGACAAATCATTTTTCTCCACAATCGGTGAGTTGGATCGTATATGCTTCAAAGTTCTGAGATATTTCGTCCCCTAACGAAAGATCACTCTTTGATTTCCTTTTCTTTTAGCCTAGGAAGAGTAACAAGATGTTAAAATTAAATTGCTTATTCTGATGGAGTTGGCATTTGAGAATGGCTAATGTGTATAGTTCAACCTTCAATTAATTTGAAGGAAATTTGTTCTATTCTCAATTTATGAAAGAACAAAAACTAACTCATTGAAAAATGTAAAAGTCAAGTAACAGCCAAGAAAATGTTGAATTTTCATACCCAAAAATGAAAATACAGAAAATAAGAAAAGCAGGAAGTGAAATTCATTTTAACATCACACATTACTTTTTATATTTCAGATTGTGGAGTCGGTTATACCGCTAATGGATGACCACACTTCCTTTCTTTCTGCCTGAAGAGAGTACAAGTTAATCTTATATGGCCAACAATGATGCTAGCATTTTGCGCTGAGATTGGCTAATATGTCGATTTGTTACCCAATTTCTGTTGAATTTGAAAGACGATATTGTCATTTACCAAAACACAAAATGAATTAATTCCTTGCAACATGCAACGTGTAATAGTCAAGTAGAAGATAAGTTAATTAATGTGTCAAACTTCATGTCCTTATAGGAATATGGAAGTGAATTCATCTGACGTGCGATGTGCTCTTGCTTATTTAGTTCCAATTTTGTTTCTGGTATGTTTAAGTTTAACGGCTTATCACACTGCTATAAAATGCTATTTTAAGATGGTGAGAAAGTCTGGATCATAGATTATATAATACATTTACGTCTAAGTTTGTATGGAGCCAGGGAACATAGGTCCCACTATTTTGTACATACAGTCTCCCTTTGATAATTTACATTAATAAGACAATGGTTTGCTTCATATGCAGCACTTGCTGCAGCCTCTTCACCCCTTGGAGTCATCGGGGGAGCGCTAGCTGGTCACGGTGTTGCAACTTTGGTAATGTTTCTTTTACTGCTAATTTTTATTATGGACAAGAAGATATTGGCCGTTTTGGAGGTGCTCTTTGATGTCGTAGTTAATCAACTATGTGCAATTTACAGCAAATCAATTGACATCAATCTTGTCCCTTGTCATTTAGATTAACTTTTCACTTTCTCCTTTGACTCATCTTTGTTACTTATTTGTGGACCTAAGCCTATTGTTCCATTTCCTCTTTTCTTTTTTTGGGTGCAGCTTGCTGTTTTGGGGGGTTCTTTACTGGGCACATTCTTATCAGAGAAGGTAACACCGAACTTTTCACCTTTTTACTCATTAGCCAATGTGCATCCTCTGAAGTTGATTACGTTAAGCAGAACCGTCATGCAATTATGTTTCCAACCTTTCTTGTTCAATGGAAATGACATGATTCTGTCATTTGGTGTCGACAACTTATCAAATATTTCAAACTATCGTAAGACATGAAACTTCACGTAAAGGTAGCAAATATGATTAAACATGTCCTGAATTGGTCCAAAATTATCCCCAACCTATCTAGATTACAAAGTACTTTCAAAACTTCTTGTCTCGGTTTTTTTGACTTCCGCTATTCTCCTATTTAGTAGAAAATAAATAGTGCATTGAATCGGTTTGAACAATGTGGAATACAGCCAGTGGAATTCCTTTTAGTCACAATCTGTAGACATAGAATATAAGCATCAAAATTCTGTGGCAACCGAAAATGAGTCAACAGCACCCTTCTCTGCATGCTTTTTCAAAAAGGTTGTTTTGTTGGACTAGCACATTCATTCACCATATCAGTTTATGCCTTCCCAGGTTGAATCGCTAGCAGTCAGCCTACATGGGTTAAAAAGGAATTTTCTTATCCTTCCCAATCAAACGCCACTGCTAACGATACATTTTCCATTGTGTCCAAATGGAAAAATCATCGTATTGCTCTTCAATATGACTTGTACTTTAAGTAATTTCTTTCATGGATGAATTATGTGTAAGCACACAGCAGACGAATGGATGACAGTCGTTTTCTACTTCCTTCTGCAGGCCATTGCGTACGTCGGAGGCGTTCTTTTTCTGGTGTTTGCAGCTGTAACACTGGTTGAGATTGTAAGTTAAAGGTAATAAGATTCCCATATTCTTTTGACTTGATCAAAACTCATAAGCACGTTGTTGATTGTAATTATTGTCATCCTGTCAATATTAATCAGTTTATTAGTACAAACATTGATTCTTTGACTGAAACATCTTTTGCTTTGGGGGTTTTAAACAATACTGAAACAAGGCGGTTTTGAACACGAGACTTCAGGTGCAGCAATAAACCTGTTAACCACTTGAACACAAAACTTCAGGTGGAGATAGATTCACACGCCTTTTCTAGCTTCTCACACACACCTTTTTTGATTTCTAACTGTTGAATTGAATAATCGAACAAAAACGAATATGTGATTAAACAGGAGTGTGTGAGAGACTAAAAAAAGCGTCTATGTAAAGTGCGTGATAGAAAAAGTAGCAAAAATGGAAGGAACGTGGCACGCCCTAACCCATCAATAGAAGCATTAGAGGGAGAATCAAAAGTGATGGAAAAAGGATGATGGTGGAGGCAGACAAAACCCCACTCTCTCATCTTCTCCCTCTTTACTTTTTACGTGAGCCTTGCTTTCCACTTTCCACTTTGGCTCCGTACGCTGCTGGTCTCTCAGTCTCATCTTTCTCTCAAAATTTAAATTTCAAGTGCTCCTCCACTTTCTTCCATTTCTTTCCTTATTTATGTAATATAGTTGTCACCCTTTTCATATTGCTTTGATTTCCATCTTTCTTAAATGCTTAATTCGATCCCACACACACTATTTTATTGAGTGATGTTATTAATCTCATGTTACAACTGTTCTTTTCATTAATATAATTGGGACACATTAATATTGTTGTTGACAAATAAGAGTATAACACTACCTGAAGGTACACACAAAAATTTCTCTTATTTTCTAAGGAGTAGGGGTGGGTTTTTTTTTTTTTTTAGAGAAATAAAATTATAAGATGCCATGCTAAACACATATAGTGACTTGTTAGTCAATTTTTTGAAGTTTTGATTCGTACATATAGTTCTAGTTAAACTTCTGGTAGCTCTACTAAATCGTACTATTATTTTTTATCTTTGAAGTGAAACGATGGAGGTTTTATTGAAGCATTATAAGAACATATAATTTTCGAAGAAGGCGTCCTAAATTAAATCTGGAGGCTTCTCAAACCAACAAGAAACAAAATCAGAAACTAAGATCAACTTGGCCATTCTCTACTAAACCGTACTAATATTATATCAAAATGAATCAAACTCTTAACATGACCTAATCGTAACTTAGTTCCCCACGCTTCCTAATGAGGTGGCTGTATTCTTCACCTTTACCATAATGATGGAATTTTTTTCAAGCGACAAGATTTCGTGGGACCATTTTTGTGATGCATATGGTTGGTAGGGTCGATGAGCTTTTGTCCCACAAAATTAGACGCAGACAAACATGCATAGTTGCAAACTGCAAAGCAAATGCAGTGGCCTTCCACGTGATTAGTGGCACGTGCATGAAACGGCACCCAAGCACCACCACCAGCGGAGGGGCCGCCGAATATAATAGAGCATATTCTCGGAAGGAAATGTTAAGAGCAGGCACCTGAACTCGACCTCTCCAGTCTCCACCCAACATACCCCAGACCAAACCCTAGAAAAATCAAACTTTGAAACCGTTAAAGTGGAATATCAACGATGTCAACACTTGAAACAACCTCGAACCAAACACGTGTATCGGATTTATCAAGAAAATTCTCCGCTTTTTACGTGCTATTGTGAGTAACACAATCACGATTTATTTATTACTTGTTTTTGTGGTTTATTAGTTATACAAGTAAACACGTATGTAACCTTTTGTTTTTGTAATTTATTAGGTATGTTTTGTATGTCTCAAAATATTATTTGTATGTACAAGATATACAAAGTAACACACTAACGAGGGTTGGCTTAGTTGGTAGGTCTTTACCTTTTGTATCGCCCTACCAAGGTTCGGCTCTCCTTGCCAACAGTTCTCGTTGGTGCACAATCTGTAAATTTCTATGTAAATTTATATTAATGAAAGCTGACAGTTAGGTGTCACGCATATATCATTTCGGCTCGAGAATGGAAAATAATTCAATGATGACTTATTTATGGGGTATTTTGTTTAAGGTCACAAAAAGATTTGAACATGAGCTCAAGTCCATAGAAGTTTTGTGATTTAAGGAGAGACAAGCAATGTAATCAGTAAAGACATTTCGTTCAATACGCTAATCTATTTTTTAATCGAAAAGTAAAAAGCTAATCTAGGTACAAAGCATATGCGAAATTTAAATGATGCATGAAAAAAGAGGTTTAGATTACGGTTCAAAAGACACTTTAGAAGCTAATTATTTCTAATTTTTTAGCAATCCAACGGACCACACCCAAAAATAGATGCAATCCGACGGTGCAAAACTCAATTGTTGGCTCTTACGTGTCTAGACCATGTGGGAGATAAGAATAAGATAAGGGAATAAATATTTTTTGGTTGCCAACGAGGCATAAGCTTCGAAGAAAAAAAAAAAGATTACATGATAACATTACAAGGTAACAAGATTCCAGCTATATTTAGGGTCGGTCCTGAGAATTTGTGATTCTAAGCAAGCCTTTGAAGTGTGTTCTCTGACCCCCGACTCTTTGTGTATTGGTTGTAATTCCTTACTTGATTGAGTTGATATTCAATAAGGAAAGCTTAAATAGAGGGTTTGAATTAAGGAAGTTTTAATGAAACACTCATGGTACTGTTCACTATTAACGTTAAGGATATTTTAAGCCTAAAAAGTCACTCATGGTACTATTCACTTATACTTTTATTTTATCATTTTGATTAAAACTAAAGTTTTTGAAGATTTTTCGTTAGTTTTTCTTTAAATTAATAACTAATCATGTCTTTAATTCCTTTGAATTTTCTACTTGTCGTGAGCAAGAAAGCTGGGAGAAGTCGTAATCAGTAACTCAGGTGTTCTTAAGGGTTAAACTACTTTGAAATGACCTCGCCAGCTTAATGAGGACATTCTCGTCACTTGTGGGTAAAAGTCCACATGTCAACTCTATGATTTTCTGAATTATTTCTCACTCCACACAAATTTTGTTGAAAATCATACAGTCCCACATCGCCTTCACTTTCCTTTCGCTTTCTTTTATTATTTGCTCTTTCATGTTGATTAGGGGTGTGGGTTTATCGATAAACTTTAGTTTACTAAAAATTACATTTTGTATTTGCTTATAATTGTGCAAGGTAAAGAAGACTATTCATATTTAAAGTGTAAATGAGGTCTAAAGTAAAGCTATATGTTTCAAATAAACAGGCACCTATATGCGACGCGCTAGCAGAACGCGTGATGCAAGGTTCCAAAACTAACGGCCAAAGCCACAGAACCAGGAAACAGAAAACCGCAACGGGAAAGGTTCAGCGGTTTTCGTCTGCAAGATTCCGAAGCGCGTGGAGTCCACTGGAGTCGGAGGAAAGGAGGAGAGAGAGAGAGCGCAGTGCGGTGACGAGCCGCTGCTGACACGAAGTTCAACACATGTGTGCGTCATGATGACGTGTGCATCTCAATTTTTCCACAGCTCATCGATTTGGAGGCGGTACATAGGGACCGACAAAGCAATAAAAAAGAAAGAGTCACCGGCCGACGTCGTTTCGACTCCATGCGGCGGTTAATGTAAATGCTTGTATATGTTCTTCGTCCCCAATCCCTTCTAAACTAACCACTCTAGTTTATGTTTGGTTAAAAAGTTAACCATAGTTAAAGTTAATTGATGCTATTCACTAATCACTAGGGATATGGATTTGTACTGTATTGGTCTCAATCTTAATTACTTGAAATTCATTTAGAACTGTTTTTAAAATAGTAGAAACTGTTTTTAGTTTAATAAAGATATTTTTTAAATTAATTTTTTTAATAAAAATACAAGTAAATTCTGGAAAAAAAAAAAGAAAAAAAAAACACTTGAAGTACTTCATGCAAGAAGCACATAACTAATGCTTCTTGCAGAAAGCATTTCAGGAAGTGTTTTTGAACTCAAAAAACATTTCATCTAAAAACACTTTTAGTCATTTTAAAAGCAGTTCTAAACAAGTTCTTAATTTGGTTTGAGATTACACAACTGAAGAAAATTAATTGGAGATGTTGACTTACACCATGGTGTATAAGGGCTTGGATTTGAACATATTTTATTTTACAATTAATTACTTTAATATTAATGCTTAATTACAAACCATACAAAATGACTCGAAAATTAGATCAATTTTTTTTTTCAACAAAAGAAAGGCAATGTGTATTAGTTCATGATAAGAAAGCATGGTCGTTTTCTAATAAATGTACATACATTGTTTTGTTGGTTGGTGGGGGGTGGTTGTTAATCCAATAGACTTTACTTGGACGTTATCGAGCATTAAGTTGTTTTCAGCAAATAAAAATTCGGCAACTTACAAAAATTATAAAAGTTTTAGGTGGTATTTGATCGCAGTTGCGGAAAGCAATTCTAATCATTCTAATCATACATATGGTGTGGGTTCGATTCTCCTTGATTTTCCTCTTGTTAATTAAATATCTAACGTAACGATGTCGCTCAACACAAAACAAAATTAAGAATGTTATTTATTTTAAAGTAAATTACATTTAGCACCCTTGTGATTTAGGGTATGTGGTGGTTTCGTTTTTGTCTTTTAAATTGACACTTTACTATCATGAAGTTAAAATTTGTTACACTACATACTCTTTCATATGCCCTATTTATTTAACTACTATTTTTTTTAGACGACACTCAATTGCGGAGCAAAAATTAATCCAAAAAAAAAAAATTAAAAGACGAGAGTGACCTCATTAAATGGGCAGAGCTCACAAATATTCTCATTCGCAGTTCAACATCTCTAGAGACTCGAGCAACTGCCTATGACATCACTAAGCTGCCATGCTCGTGGCATGGAAAAGTCAAAGACATTAAAAATAAGATTAATTGCCAAATTCTATTTTTAATACATTCCTGATTGAGGGGTAACTCAAACAAGTAAAAAAATTTCATCTCTATCAATCAAGGATACTTACATGAGAATTTTAAGATATTATCTCATACTTAATATCTTAGAATTATTTTTTCCTCATCCATTCTACGGATGACTCATCTTGGCCAATTGGAAGTCGCCACATGAAAGGAA